GAAGAGAGCCCTCCTCCTCCTCCTCCTCCTCCTCGCTTCAGGGGCAGCAGGGGGGGGGTTCCATGGGAGGGGGGGCCAGGCGGGCTCCTGCCCCCACCAGTTGGCCCTGTGGCTGCAACCAAGCGCCCTGGGACCCAGAGGGGGCTTTTCTTCCACACCATCACCCCGGCTTTGTTGGCCATCTCAAGAACTGGCTTTCCGATACGCGCACACACACCCCGGGAGGTGCCCGCTGCGGAGAGCGGAGGCTTGCCAAGGACACCCTGGGACACCCCCAGCACTTTTCTCAGGGCCCCTCCTGCCTCCCCTTCCCAGACCCCCTCAGGGAGCGAGCAGGGCCTTGGACACCCCCCCCCCCCCCCCCAAAGAAAGCTCCCTCTCCCCCCCCCGCAAATGAAGGCTCCTCTTCTCCTCCGCCAGCAGCTTGCGAGGACTGCTTCGCCTCCAGAAGTGAGCTGACCCTGCCCTCTGGTGGAACTTGTGGCGTAGCCAGGCGGGCCCCTCTTCGCTTCGGGGAGGGGGGGGGGAAGAGGTCAGTGTCCCGGCCCAGCCTTGCCTGCTGGGCTCCTCGCCTCTCAGCTGTGGAGTCTTGTGAGCAAAAACTCTACCTTGTGAGCTCCTGGCGCTGAAGTGGTGAGCCAGCGACTTTGGCTGCAGCATAAATCAGCTTCCTCTGGAGCCCCATCCTTCCTGAGCTAGGACAGAAATCTGTGAGCCGGAGGCTAAAAGACTGTGAGCTAGCCCACACTCACTCAGCTTAGAGGGAACGCTGGACCCAACCAACGCTCCCTCTCAGCTGTGGAGTCTTGTGAGCAAAAACTCTACCTTGTGAGCTCCTGGCGCTGAAGTGGTGAGCCAGCGACTTTGGCTGCAGCATAAATCAGCTTCCTCTGGAGCCCCATCCTTCCTGAGCTAGGACAGAAATCTGTGAGCCGGAGGCTAAAAAACTGTGAGCTAGCTCACACCAACTCAGCTGAGAGGGAACATGGCTCCCAGCCGGCCTCCTCAGCTTCCGAGAGGGTCTGCAGGCCGTGGCTTCTGGCAAGGACTCTTCCCCTCTAGCTATCCCCCCCCCGAAACACTTCCACTCTTGGGGAGCCTAAAAACACTCCTTTGGGAGTGAGAGGCTGAAGTCCGGCTCACTCCACATGACCTACCAAGGCTCTCAACGTCATCACGTGATCTGTGGCATTAAGAAGAAATTGTGCCCACAACCCTAGGAGATGTTGTTGAAAGGGAGTCATGTTTTCCCACCACATGGTGAGAATAGAACACTAGTGAAGAGCTCCGCCTGTTCAGCGTCACAGAGTCAAAGCGCCAACCGCAAGGCTTGCTCCCCGTTGGCCTTCGTCCCTGCAGCTTCTGTTTCTCCCCTAGTTCTCAGACGGCCCTCCTGGCTTTGAGCGCTGGGTGTGTTTGCAATCTGACGTCAACCGTTGCACTGGGTGGACGGGGAGAGCTCTCACTTGCCCCCGGCTGGCCTCAGGTGACCCAGGCATTCCGGAAGAAAACACACACACACCCCCGCCCCAACGGTTAGAATGAAACAAAACTCATTTTTAAGTTGAAGGAAGTTTAATTTACTGCTTCAGGTTCTTTATTGGTTAGGCGGAAGCACTCCCGACGGTTACATTCAATCGTATATAGACAGAGCAGTCGAGGTTTCGCAGAACCCCTCCGCTTGGAAGCTCCTGAGTTGCTTTGGACACCTGGCTCCTAGGCCATCCCTTGGAAGCGGCCAGAAGGCCAGACGGACCCCCTTGGAAGGCGGGGGGGTGGGTGGGTGGAGCCAACCACACGGCCCCTCCCCCCCAGCCCACAGAGGCACAAGCCCTTCCCCCGCGTACAGACCGTGGCCCAGACCGTGGCCGTGGCAGGGGAGTGAGGAGGGATGAGCCACCGGCCCCGTGAGAGAAGGCCCCTGCTGCTCCGGACCCAGGAGAGATGACGGAGCCCCGGCAGTCAGGCCCAGGCCCCTCTGCGTTCCCTGCTCAACAAGTGCATCAGTGGCACGGACTGCCGCCTCTCAAGAAATCGCACATGACTGACAATAACTTTGGTTTCCCCGTGTTTTTATTTGGTTTCTAGGCCAAACACCAACAAAATGGAAAAATGCAGCGGGAAGAGGGGGGGGGAGATCAGGAGGAGACGTAAACAGATCCCAGGGCCCAGCGGAGCCCTAGGTGCCTTCTGCAAAAAGGGACACTTGCCCAGATCAGACCGCCGGACTTGGCCCTTCGAAACCCTGTAAACATGCCCACGCTGTGACGGTGCAATACTGCAAGAAGGGACCCGGAAAGGGCATTTGGCTGCCAGGGAACACTGAGGAACTCCAGGACACAAGGCGCGCCTGGAGTGAGGAACTGAAAAGACCACGTGTTAGACCATGTATCAAAATACAGTTTACCAAAAGATTCACAAGGCAAATATAAATGGAAACAGATCTGAAAACAATCTCATCCGATACCATACTCTCTTCGATCTCAAAAGTTAAAAATCTTAAATAGAAACGTGAACACTGAAGGCAGAGAAAGCAGGGCCTGCAGGCGGGTGGTTCTGCACAACGCAACGAGCCGGGAGCCAGGCCAGGCCAGGGCGCTCCCTTGATCTGGCGCAGGATGGCCGGCTGCTGCTGGATTGGGGCCCCGGCCACTGCTCTGCACCGGCCCGCGAGTATCTCCAGTCCTGCTGACTTAAAAGCCTCCGACAACGGAGACCCGCCGCTGCAGCACAAGCAGACACGAAGGAGGAGGAGAAAGAAACCCCAGAGCCATTCGGAGGCTCTTCCCTGAAAAATGCAATAAAGTGCTTCGGAAGAAGGTCTGAAGGGAAGGCTCTGAGCACGAGAGAGGAGAGCCCTCCTGCGGACGACCGGCCCTTTCAGAGAGAGCGAGGCTGAGAGTCACACACGCAACCCCCCTCCCACCCCCGATGGACTCACAGCTTTCTTCACAGCTTCGTCTTCAGTAGTTTGGAGTGCCCAATGGGCAGAGGTGATGGCAGCGCCTCCCTCGCGCCAGCCAGCCAGGCTTTGAAATGGCGAAAGGTTACGGAAGGTGCCTGAAATCAACTCAAGGAAGAATGCCAGATAAAATTGCCGTGGATCCCTGGAAGAAACTTGGTTCGACTTGTAAACTCTTGAGTCGCAGCACAGGAAGAAGAGAGGCCGGGCTGCCTTGGGGTGGGGGAGCCCTCAGTCCACCCCGTCAAACCCCTGAGCGTTCTCAATGGCCACGTGGAGCTTGTCCCAGAGGTCTTCGAAGGACTCGTAGGGAGGCAGGTCCAGGCGGTTAAAGCTGGGGGGGAGACAGAGGGGGAAAAGAGCAGCCCCCGTTAACGGCCTGGGCAGACACACGGACAGAGAGACAGACGGGCGGACGGAGGTGCTTCTCCTCGGGAAGGGACACTCACCACGTGTGTGCTCTTGGCAGTTTGTCAGGGCTACCCCAGAGCTCAATGGTGAACAGCTGTGGCCCGTTGGAACCTGTGGGTGGGGGGTGGGGGGACACACCAGCCATTACTCGTGGTTCTCACCCAGTTCCCCCCCAGCCCTCTGTCCCCCGCTCCTGGCTGCCAGACACTCCCCTGGCCCCTCAGAGCTGCCTCCGTAGGGGAGAGGGTGCCCTGGAGGGAAGCCGCGATGTGAGACCCCGTGAGTGCCCAGAGGCAAACCATGCTCAAGTCCCCCCACCACCCACCCGCACCCAGTCCTGCAATGCACGGGCAACGGCCCCATCGAGTGCTGGCAGTTCTTCGGGGGCCGAGTTGCAAGACGCACTGATGCCGGAGCGGCTGGGGCCTGGGAACTCTCCCAACCGCCACACCACACACACACACACACACACACACATCTATCCGGGGCTTCACGGACTCAAAAGCGCTCCATCAAATCCCTGCATGTGAACCAGCCTCTGTGTTTCAAGATGGGGGGGGGATCTCTGCTCAAGCTCTTGCGGCCCCCCAGCAGGCGACGCTCAGCAGAGGCCCCACAGGTGTGAAATGCGCTCCAGGCCAGCCGGCCAAGCTCCCCCCCCCGGGGGGGGGATCGTTTCAGACACCAGGTGAAAACGTTGCTGTTCACCAGAGCTTAAGGATGGAGCCCTCCACAAGCCCAGTTTCCCAAATGATTTCAAATCTCGTGGCCAGAGTGAGCGGCGCTAGTGGGGCACGGTGGCAAAACGGGTCGCTTTGCTGAGGCTGCCGGCAGCAGGGGCATCGACAGGGCAGGACCGACAGGCAGGAGAGGGGCCCACCTCAACCAATGCCCCCTCTAAGCTGTGGAGCCTTTTGAGCAAAAATTCTACTTTGTGAGCCACTAGCACTGAACTTGGGAGCGAGTGATTTGGCTCCTGAACAAGTTAGTTTGCTCTGGAGCCCCTCCTTCCCGAGCTCAGGCAAAAATGCGTGAGCCGGAGGCTAAAAAACTGGGAGCTAGCTCACACTCACTCAGCTTAGAGGGAACACTGCCCCCAACACCCCCCCACGCCCGTGCGTTGTCTCCTGAGAGCCCCCCCCCCGGCACTCGCCTGGGGGGCACATGCACCCTTGGCAGACACTCAGCACTCCCCCCCCCCAAATACGTACCGTACAATTCCGAAAATCCGTTCATCGGTACGCGGGAGGTGCCCGTCACAAACTGAAGAAGTCTTATTCGCTTCTCGGAGTCCATCAGCTGCACGCCCTGCGCAGAGTGACCGTCAGACAGCAGCCGGCCCCCACCAAGCGCCCTCCCCCCGTCTCTCTCTCGGCCTCCCTCCAGCTAAGAATCTAGCAAAGGCCGAGTCGCCCTTCGCCGGGGGAAGAATGGCTCTGCTGCTCATGTCTCCGGGGAGTGACTGGAACGCGTTCCATGTGGGGCTGCCCTGGAAACATCAGCATGCCACCTGGCTGCCACCTTTGGTATCCTTTGGAGGGAACAAAGGTGCTCGTTTTGACCTCTAAAGTCCTGTATGGTCGGGGGCCTGCCTACCTGAGGGACCGCCTTTCCCCACATGTCCCCCAGAGAGCACTGAGGTCAGGGTCCCAAAACCGCATGGCCCTCCCTGGACCAAAAGACGCCAGGCTGGCCTCGGCCAGGGCCTTCTCGGTGGCGGCTCCACACTGGTGGAACGAGCTCCCAGAGGACATCAGGGCCCTGCGGGACCTTTCACCCTTCCGCAGGGCCTGTAAAATGGAGCTCTTCCACCAGGCCTTCGACTAGGAGCCGCCGCCACCAACAACGTCTGAACTGGGGTAAGGCCCTGTATGTCAACTGGCGACACCGTGGCCTACAGAGACCAGGATATATGGCTACCACCACTAGCGCTTTAACTGCACCTACAGTTACTGTTATTTGTACATTCATGAGTTTTACGATGTGTGCTGTGTTTTATGGATTCGTTTTCAATGTGTTTTAACTCTTAACGGAAGCCGCCGCGAGCCTGCCTTGGCGGGGAGGGCGGAAATACGAACCGAACCAAATAAACAAACAGACCTCCCTCGCCAGTCTTGCCAGAGCCACATCAGCTGGCTGCCCGCTCCTTCCTTCCCGAGACCCAGCTCAAAGGTGCTGGGGGGGAGCCCCAGGTGGGGCTGTCAATTCCTGTCTGAATCAGCCCTGCTCTGCCCACCACCAATGCCTGAGGCACACGGTGACCCATCAAGCACAGGACAGCCTTCTCAGCTGGGGTCCCAGGCGCGTGTGGAGCTGATCTGGATCAGGACCACAGCGCCGGAGGAGGGAACTCGAGTCACTCCACAAGCCGCTGCCCTGCCCTGACACAAGCCAGGCGTCTGGCTGGGATACTTGTGGAACGGATCCTGCCGCTCCCGCCGCCCCAGCCACATCTCCCGCCGCCCTGGCCCGCTCACAACACTCCCGCTCGGAGAGCAAGAGGACTCGGGGTACCTTCCAGAACCACTGGATCACCACGTGGTTCGCGCTGTAGCCGTTCTTGTACTTGGTGTGTTCCCGCCAGTCATTCACGTCCACGTCACCCAGGCCGCACATCAGCAGCTACAAGACAAGGGCAGACAGAGAACGTTCACACGCACCAAATGGGCAACGGGAAGCAAGTGCTGGTGGAAGCGGCGACACTCACCTCCAGCTCGTTTTCATCGAAAATCCGGATAAGGTCTTGCGGGATGAGTTCAAAAAAACCCTGGAACGCAGAGGCGGCGGAGACAGTCAGTAGGCCCAAGGCGTCTTGGGGGCACTGTGCCGTGTGCGTTCAGGAGGCAGGAAAACGTCTCGGGGGGGGGGGCGACGTCGGCCTGGGCAAGCCCTGGAGGCCTTCCCTGGTGAGGGCTCAACGGGTACCATTCCGGGGGCCAGCTTCCAATTGCCCAGCCCCCCCCCCCACTTCTGGCCATGCCAGCGACGTGGCTCCACCGGCACACCCTGAAGCTTCGTCCAGTGGCTGAGAGTTCCCCTGGTGCAGGGGAAGGGGGGGGGGAGAGAATCTGCCCAAGGCAGGGGTGGCCGAGCCACGTGCGGCTCTTTCACACACATTGTGTGGCTCCCGGCAGGGCGGCTGGGGAAGCGAAGGGGAGGGCAGGCCTCCCCGATCAGTCTTCCCTTCCCCAGCCAGTGTTCCCCTCCCTGAGCAGGCTTGAGGTGGGGGGGGGGGAACAGAGAAGGAAAGAAACGCTAACTTTAAATGCGTTCTCAAAGCCCCCTCCCCCGCCTACAAGTATCATTGAATAAATAAATATCATTATCAATATCTGTTTTTAATCCCTTTTGTTTCTGTTTCTGGCAGTCCCATTTAATGTTAATAACAAGCAAATTTGCATCGTTTTCAATAAAAACATGTGTGTGATATTTGCTCATGCCTTGCGGCTCTCAAACACCTGACGTTGATTCCATGCGGCTCTTACGTTAAGCGAGTCCGGCCGAGTCTGGCCTAAGGTTTCCTCTGGGTTTGACGTGGCAGGAGACGCTTTATGGGGATCCGAAGGAGGATTTATGCCCCCGCCCTCCCCACCAAGGCAGGCTGAGGGTGGCTGGCACCGGGCAGAGGAGGAACACAAACACACTTTGATATTCTACACCTCCCCCCCACCCAACCCCACTGCTTGGCTAAGGAGATGGCAAACGTCTGAATCGTTTCCCCGTAACGGATACCCCAAAGTCTTCTGAGACGGGCGCATCCATACCTCCTTAAAAGCGGCCATCTGCCTCTTGATTCTGTTCACAAAACGCCACTGGATCACGAGGCTGTGGGAGGAGGGGAAAGGGAGCCACACAGAGGCCCCGTCAGGAAGCCAGATTCCACGGCGGCTCCTCCTCCTCCAACCGGGGCCCCCGCCCAGAGAGGCCTGCCCAAGGGTGGGGGGTGGGGGGTAGAGGGAACAGGGAACACAGTGTAGGGAGCCAGAAGAGGAAAGACCCCCAAGGAGGAAGGTGGCCGCTCACTAGATGTACTCGTGCTTGTTCTCGTTGGTGACCACCAGATCCGAGCCTCCGCTTTTCAGCTCGTGCTGATGAGTCTAAACAGGGAGAGAGGAAGAGGTGTGACAAGGTGGGTTGATGCACGGAGCACGCCGCGGGGCCTGCAGGCCAACTTGTGGGTGGCGCCGAGGGGTGCCCAGATCCACCCGTGGGCCAAAACCTCGCCAGCCGCAGGGGCCCGCACCGGCTGCACGCGTGAAATGGATCTCCACGCTAGAAGGGAACTCATGACACGCGGAACGTGGCACAGAGCTGGAGAGGATTCCTCGGGGGACACCCACCGAGGTTGGGCCACGCTGGCTCCGCAGCCCTGGGCCACGACCGCTATCCCGAAAGAGGATGGGCCAAGGACCAAAGCAGCTCTTCCGCCTGCTTCGTCGTCCCACAGACGGCCTCGTAGGAGGCGAGCGGTTTCAGCTGCAGTCCCCTCCCGGCAGCAGAGTCCCCCGTCCTGAACTGACACCCACCTGCCCAAAACGTTCTTCGTCAACGGTGAACCGAAGGTCCAGTTCCATGGGGTCATTTTCAAGAATCCACTTCAGAGAGCTATGGTATTCGCTGTCCTAGAGAGAGAACACGGGAGGGAGGGCCGTTAGGAAAGTCACACAGGGGAGGAGGAGGAGCCTGCGAGAGTGTCGTGGAGGGCACCTACCACGGGTTCCATGTCGCAAAGGGTGATTGGCTTCTGCAGCATCATCTTGTAGAAAGGACGGATAAAGAAACCTGGGGGGGGGAGGAGAAGAGTGGAGACGGGGCTATGAGACAGGGCACGGCTTCAGCGTTCCCCACGTGAGCCCAGGTAAGGAGGACTTCCGGGAAGGACCCACCGTCCAGCAGCTTCCCGTGATAAACGGCCATCCCAGCCACCCGGCCAATGAACTTGAAGTAGGAGAGGTGGTCTTCGTTGCACAGCCCTGAGTTCGGGTTGATCTGCCGCGTGTAGTTGTCCCTGCAGGGAGAGCGTGCGGTGAGCCCACTAGCAGCAACGGGGCCCTCCATGGCCCTTCTGGCCGGGAGGGAGGGACGGCCGGGCTCCCCCCCCCACCTCAGGGAACGCACATCCGGCTCCTACTCACGCGGCCGAATACTCAAAGAGCCCGTAGTAGGGGTTGAACATCTCACGGGAGAGCAGGAAGAACCACTCGCGGGCGACCCCTCCGTAGTCCAAGCCTTTCTCCCCCTCGAACTCGATCCACAGCCTGGCCTTCAGGCACTCCGCTTTCTTCACCGAGATGATCCTGCGGTAGGAGTCCTCGAGGATGTTGTGCCGGTGAAGTTTCAGCTCAAACTTATTGGGAATATCCGTCTGAGGAAGAGCAGGGAGAGGCTGTAATGATTCCATGCTTTTTTTTGGGGGGGGGGGTCTTTAAATGTTGAGCTTGACTGCAGTAATGCAAGGAGGGCGATAGGGGGAGATGAGTGCGCTGTGATTGGCTGATGACTGAGAGTGTGGGAGGAGAGATGTTCGGAGAGGAGTCTGTGTGTGTGTTTTAAGACAGAGTTCTCTGTGTGTGTCTTTGGAAAGTGAAGTGTGGAAGAGCTATGAAGAGGGTCTGTGTGACTCTAAAGGTTTTGTGAGAGCGTCTACATGGAAAAGAAACAAGTAGTGTCTAAACTGTGTGGTTAGACAAATGTTTTATCTTGTGTGCCTGAGACAAAGAGCTTAGCCAGTGTGGCTACCTATATGAGGGAGAGAAGCCCGCCAGCGTGGAATTCTGGTGTCCAAGGGACGGTGTGTGTGACACCTGGCCAGTTATATTTACAAGCTCCTTTTTCCAGAAACAGTTCAAGACAGCCAGCAACCTATTTTGTTCTTTATTCAATACACCAATTTTTGTTTAAACATATCAGTACAGTCCTTCCTCAGGGCCACATAGTCCTCTGAAGTGCCCAGACCCTGGGTCATACTACCAAAGAGGGGAATTTTAACTATATAACAATGGAATCTCAAGAGCAGCAAACATTGGAATGTTTAATTCCTGGTGGCAGCAGAAAACTACCAAGTTTATATACGTACAGGGTAGTTTAAAGGAAAAACAGTCGTCCCCCCCCAAATAGCAAGCACGCCACAGAGGCCCTTTGGGTAGGCTGTGGGACTGGCTCCGTTGGAGCGCAGCTGGGAGAATGTGGCTGAGCCTCCGGGCACCAGGTTCACGGGTGGGACCCCCAAGTGCGGAGCAGCTGAAGCCCTGGGGAAGGAAGGGTGGGGTGGGGTGGCTCCTGCCCTGGGCCCCGGACACGGAGGGAGAGAGCGGCCAGAGGGCTGGGCAGAGCCCTGGCACGGAAGTGTGCCTTGGGGGGGGTCCTTGGGCCGACCACTCCCTCCCTCCCTCGGCACACAGTGGGGGGCGGGAGCCATTTTTGGCTCCCTGCAGCGTTCTCCTCCCCTGCCGCCAGCAGCAGCTAGGAGGAGGCTGCTGGCGGGGCAGAAGGGACCTGCTGCTGCTGGCCCTGTGTGGGGAAGGTGGGGTGCCTCCTCCCGCTGAGAACTGCACCACTAGCACAGAGGGACCAGCCAGGCTTCTAGGCCCCCTTGGCCTCACTCGCCCCCCCAGGGGGGCCCTGGAGGGCTCATAGTTCCACCCAGGGGGCACCGGCACATGGGGGTGCGGCCCGGCCGTGTGTCCTACTGCTCCACATTGTAGCCTTCTTCGGAGGGAACACTTACTGGTTTCTTTAGCTTCTTCCTGAAGAACTCGTACTTTCGTTTGTAATCTCTGGAATAAGGCACTGCCTTGGAAGGGGAAAAAGGACAGAGGAGGAGGAGGAAGCAGCCCGTCAGGCACTCTTGCAGTCAGACACCAGTGTGGCCTTGCGGCATAGGGGGCGGCAGGGGGGGAGCCCTCCTTCCCTCTCTGAACGGCAGACCCCGAGCAAGAGCCTCCCCCACCCCCACCCCCCATGCACTTATTTCCAGACAACTTAAAGATGGCTCTAGAGGATAATCTTTAACTTGCAGGTTGTGGGCACAGAAGGGAGATTTCCCCCACGGGGATAGAAGTGGCCAGCCACGGGGATCACTGTCCCACCCCCACCCCACCCCCCAGGTAAAGCCAGCCGTCTTACTGGTCTCGTGATCGCTACATTCTGGAGGCGAGGATCCTCCCACTGTGTCTTTTTCGTGTCTGCAGGAGAGAGAGGCAGGCATCAGCCCCAAGGAGCGTCTGCGCCGTAACGGGGGTGGGTGGTGGGTGGGTGGGGTGTGTGGCAGCCGTCGGCCCTTCTCCCCACCCCTCCCCTACGTACTGTGGTTGATGAAGAAGGTCCTTCCGTCCGTATGAGTCCTTTCTTCCCAGCCGGGCTGCAGGAGAAAGCAAGAGCCAAGGGAAAGCCTCTCAAGCATTCTGCCTGTGCCACAGGCCTCAAGGCTCGAGAGGTTTTCAAGGTCTTCACGGGGCACGGAGAAACCCCGGAGGCCAGAGAGACTCACCGGCAAAGGGCCAAGTTCCCCGGGGTCTAAAGAGGTCTTCCTTCTCGGGTGAGGTGGGATTTTCAGTCTGGGATCTTCCTGGGGAGGGGAGAGACAAGGCGCTGGTACATGCGCTTCAAATCTCTACCTCAGCAAGGGACACGTCGGACTGCCCCCCCTTCCAGACTGGGGGGGGGGAACGCACGCAGGACCCCCACCCCCTGGCTCCTGCCCTCCCAGCTTCCAAGCGCCAGTCAGAAAGCCACACACCCAGGTGGTCGTCTTGGTGTTGTGATCGATGAAGAACGGCCTCCCGCTGGGTGCGTTCCGGACCTCCCAGCCTTTCGGGAGGGGCCCTGGCTCCCCGGCCCCTGCCACTGGGGGCCACGGCTGCCGGGACGAGTCCTGCGGGGGTGCCAGCTGCCCCGGGGAAGGACTCGCAGGATCCCCCTCCACTCCTGCCTATCAGGGACGAAACGAAGACAGGGAGGCTCAAGCCACACGGCCCTGCCCAGGCCGGGCCAACACTCCCGCGGGAGGCCGGGAAGACTGAGCTGGGAGCCCTCCGCCATGGCTTGCCTGGCCCCATCAACACCCCCCCCCCGGCTCCCCGCACCAGACCTGGGCGGCCCCACTGAGCAACCACCCCCCTCCCCTCCGAGCGGCAGAGGTTCCCGAGGGCTCCCCCGCACAGAGAGAGAGAGAGAGAGGGCCTCTCTCCAGCTCTGGCACCGGAGCCCCCGCAGGCTGGAACGTGTTTCCTTCTCCCCCCAAGGCCGGGACAGGGCCCAGCGCCAGGTGCATACTGAGCCAGCTGCAGTGGGACTCCTCGGAAGCTTCGCCGCACAAACAGGCTCCAAGGGCCAAGCCAAGATCCGCGTCCTTTCCAGCCCCAGGCTCAAGAGGCGGCAACGAACCCCCCTGGCGGCGGCCCCCCATTTCTCTCCTCCCGCTGCGCCCCCCCTCCTCCCGGTGTAGGCAGAATTGCACCAAAGGCTCCCCTGAACCCTGCGGCCCTCTCTGCCCTGGCCCCAGAGACCTGTGCCGCCGGCCTCTGCCAGGTGGTCCTCTGGGAATTGTGGTCTATGTAGTAAGGGCGGCCTTTGTCATCGGTCCTGACTTCCCAGCCGGGGGGCAGCCCAGCTGAAGTGGGCAGTAACTGCAGGGGGGGGGG